AAAGAAATTCAGATATTATTTAAATTTATAATTTATTTAAATTATTATTTAAAACGGATAAAAAATATAACTAAAGGTAGTAAAAAACATACTACAAAAATAAAAAATTTCGCGTATTTAGTAACGGTTATAGTAATGGTGTGCACGACTGGTTTGCGCAGAAGTGTTATACTCTTGAAAGTATAATTTTCAAATTGTCTTTATTTCTTTGTCTATGGTTTCCGCCTCACTACATCTGGCAATGGTATTGAATACAACGTAAAGTAAAACTGTTATTTCAGTATTTAAATATCTGTTGTATATCATTTAAATGTCTGTTGTAAATCCATTTAAATATCTGTGGATGTATATCATTTGTTTTTTATGTAATTATATAATTAAGGTAAAGTACTCAATAATTCATAACAGTAATTCATTCAATCATTCTGATATATGTTTATGTACTTCTTTAAATGTAAGTGGCATTGACATTAAAAATTAATTTCTTTGTACTTATACTCCTATACATATGGAGTATATGCATTTGAAATCTTGCACTTATGAGTAGCCAAATACTTTTAGCATTTTTAAAGCTACATTTAAAATTATATATAATATTTTGAATATATTTAAGCAATCGAAATTATTAGGAATATATTATTTTTGTATGGTTCCAAAATCAAAACATTAAAATGAATGAAAAGAAGTTATTGATAATTTTACATTTTTTTTCACAATGCTTCAGGTAAACGTGAGTTAGTTGAAGAATCACAAGGGCCCTCACAGATTCTGTCATCATCAAGAACCAGCAGGAAAGAAGATAAAAGTGAAGAAAAGAAAAAATTTAAAGTTTTAAGACAATATGATCATGAATTATGATTATTTGAAAAATTGATTATTTATGATTATTTGAAATATGATCAATATGATTATTTGAAATATGGTTTTATACAAGAACCTAGAGTGGAACTTGATCCGTGACTGTTTCTGTCGTATGTTTTATGAGTTTACCTAATGAAGCCATGAAACCATCAAAACTTACCAGACATTTCCTGACTAAACATCCAGATTTAGATAATAAGTCAATTGAATATTTTCAGAGATTGTGTGATAATTTACAAAAGCAAATATATCCTTTAAATAAAATGACAATTCAATATAAGTCTGTATTAAAAGCCTCTTATTTGATGACATTTCAAATAGCAAAATCAAAAAAACCTTATACAATTGGAGAGGAACTAATTAAACCTTGCTTATTACAAGCCTTTGAGGAAATTTTGGGAAATCAAGCCACCCAAAAAATGAAGGTAATTCCTATGTCTGCTAGATCTGTGAAATGCAGAATTGAAGACATAGCTGAAGATGTTGAAGTTCAATTATTAGAAATAATCAAAAATGCAACATTTTATGCAATTCAACTTGATGAATCAACCAACATAATGAACAAAGCTATTCTTCTTTGCTTTGTGAGATTTAATTTCAAAAAATATTTAAAAGAAGAATTTCTAAGTTCACTCGACTTGCCAGGTAGAACAACTGGATCTGAAATTTTCAATGTATTGAATGATTATTTTCTGAAACATGAAATTAATTGGGGAAAATGTATAGGAATATGTACAAATGGGGTGCTGTAAGTATGGCTGGACATTGATCTGGAGTTGTTAAAAAAATAAAAAATGTTGGACACAGATATAATTTTTATTCATTGTATTTTATACCGTGAAAAACTTGCTGCGAAAAGATTATCTCCAGAATTACATAAAGTACTGTCTGATGTAATTAAAATTGCAAATGAAATTCGGCATAAAGCTCTCAACTCTTGATTATTTGAATCACTTTGTGATGAAATGGGCTCAGAACATAAACATCATCTTCATGCTGAGGTGCGTTGGCTGTCAAGGGGTAAAGTTTTAACCCAATTGTTTAATATGTGACAAAAAGTAGAATTATTCTTTCAACAACAAAATAATTCTAAATTCCAAAATTTCTTCTCCGATGATGACCGGGTAACAAAGCTTGCTTATTTGGCAGACATTTTTTCTTTGTTAAATGAGTTGAACATATCTATTCAAGGAAAACTTTTAGATGTTTTTACTTTGCGAAGTAAAATGGATGCATTTCAGAAGAAAATATTGTTATGGAAAGAACTATTAATTGGCGAAGATTTGCAAATGTTTCCAAATCTGGATGAATACATAAAAGAAAAAGATGTCAATCAACAGATAATAGGTCTTGTTCAACAGCACTTGCAGTCACTCAAAGAGTCTTTTGGATAATAATGTTCAAAAGACTCTTTGAGTGACTGCATGTGCAAGATGATCTCAGAAATGGAAATATGTGGATAGTAAACCCATTTTCTTGAAATATTGAGGAAAGCAATTTAAATCTGAAAGAAAAAGAAAGTTTAATCGAATTATCATCAGATGATAGTCTCAAACTTCAATTCAACTCATCTTCAAGAAATAATTTTTGGCTTTCTGTAAAAAGCAAATATCCAATATTGAGTGAAAAAGCCTTAAAACTTTTGACTCATCACAACAACCTACTTGTGTGAAAAAAACATTCTCAACTTTAACAGCTATTAAAAACAAGTATCGTGCTCGGCTTGAAATAGAAGCTCCTTTACGTGTTGTGGTGACATCATTGGAGCCAAGGATTAGTAAAATAATTTTAAAGCAAGAGCAGCAAATGTCATTAATTTTTAATATATATTACTATTATTTATTACTTTTTTGTGTTTGAGTTACCATCAAATAAATGCAATTAAAATTATTAATATAAATATAAAATTATTTATTTAAATATATAATGCATATAAAATCTATATATATATATATAAATGGACGTGTGTGTCCCTATATTTCACTTTTCTGCCAAAACTACACATCGCACATGAATGGTGTTTGTATGTGGTAGTAGCCCCAAGTCTCCATTCGTGCATAGGGGTGGTTGCGTCTCGATAGCTATAAGGGTGCGGGAGATATGAGGCTGAAAGTGGTTGAAAGTGGCTTTCTATTTCGAATGTTTTGTTCGAATTTGTTCGAATTAAATTCGAACATAAAATTCGAATATTGGTTCGATTATAGAACGATTGTAAACGTTCCAGAAATGTTGAAAATAGTTTGTTTGACTTGACGTGAACAGGAGACGTTCAGAAATAGAATCGGGACCAGGTCTCTAATTAGTCTGGAAATGGGGGACCTAATTCTTGCATTCTGTGAAAACGGGTAAGATTGGCTATAATGTAATTATCTTAATCTTCACTATCGTTACTTTTTAAAAACCCAGCGAAGCGGGTCCTTGCAGCTAGTTATTAATATAAATAGACATATATATGTATACCATATTCGTAAAAATTCTTATCTTTAAAAATTATGTTAGTGGTTCGCAAAATTTTAAATTCTGAATTTAGTGATCTGCAATATCTAAAAGTTGCCCTGGTCTAGACAATAAAGTAAACATTTTAGGATAAGTAATTAAAATTTGCTTTAATTATTCATAAAATCTATTAATACAGTGGAACCTCTATATTCGTCATTAATCTGTTCCTAAGGACCTAATGAATATGAAATATGACAAATATAGAAACAATTTTTTTTCCTAATAAATAACTGATATTTAATTAATCTGTTTCTATCCTAAAAAAAGGTACAGGAATAAAAAGGATGTTGTTTGTAAAACTTTATCTTTATTGTACCAAATAAATACAGTATAGTGATAGAAGGGAAAGAAGAGTAAGGATATTTTTTTAGAAGAAGACATACCATCAATTAAAACATTAGTTAATTCCAATTATGATCTTGGCATATTAAATTCTTTGGCTAAGTTGGAAGTACTTTGTCCATTTTCAGACTTAGCAATTTTTAAAAATCTCTATTGTTGTTCTAACATCTTTCCTTTTTTGCTGTTTTTCTTCATTGAGCTTTGTTGGAACCATTGGAGCTTGAGTTTTTGAAAATAATCAACACAAGAAACCAAGAACACACATGAAGACCTCACAAAGCCCATTGATTAACTACAGCTAGCTAACACAATGTTGCCAACTCAAAATTCAAATTTATAGCTAGACATTTTAATAAAAATATTCAAATCATATTGTTTCCATTAAAATTGTTTGTTTTTTCTATAGCTAGATAACATATAACATTATAAAAATAGCTAGGCTATTATAATTTAGATAATTTGCATAGCTAGATTGTTCATAAATGTACTAAATCTAGCAAAAAATTAGCTAAATTGGCAACACTAAGCTAACATGTCTAGCTGAGCGATGCAGGCGTGTGATTGTAGTCAGTGCCGGCCCGAGGCAAGTTTTAGGATGGAGCGAGATCCCATTATGTGCCCCCCTTGGTTGCCCTAATTTATACCCTTTTATTTTGTTTGACTGGAAGTGAACAGGAGACGTTCAGAAATAGAATCTGAGGCACCCCCTAGGACTTAGTGCCTGGAGCGGCTGCTCCGTTCGCCCTATGGTAGGGCCGGCTCTGATTGTAGTGTTACTGCCAGTGTTGGGAATGATGACAAATACAGAAAATACTGATGAATATGGGGGAAAGTCATCAAAATGTAACGAATATCAAATATGAATATAGAGTTTCACTGTGTTTTATTTTGAATTTTAAATAACTTCTCTGTCTTATTATAAACTTCTGCCATATACAAATATATTAAAATATGTTTTATTTATGAAAAATTAAAGAAGTTTCTAAAATAAACTTTTACGTTTTAATATAAGTTTCAAATACTTTTGACTCTTTTCTAGCAATTTCTTTAATTAAATCAAAGAACTAACGTTTTTGGTTATTTTAAATGGCCTTCTTCAGGTTAAACAAAAAATGGAATGTCAGTTAGAATATGCCGAATACGTTAGTTCTTTGATTTAATTAAAGAAATTGCTAGAAAAGAGTGAAAGGTGTTTGAAACTTATAGAAAAATTCTAGTTTACTGCACATAGAATTGTAAATATGTTTTACTATACATTATTATGTATGTTATTAAATCAGTGATATATTTTTTTTAAGATCAAGAAGAAAAAGAACTCGGAGAATTTATGCCTGTTCACAGTCTTACCAGGCGGGAAAACAAGAGACCTTCTATTTACCTAAGATTTCGGCCACCAGATGCTGATGCTGGAACAATTAAAGTTTATCAAGGAAAACTTAGGTAAATATATTAAATGATATAAATAATTTATGATATGGAATTTTTGTTATATGAATCATCACATATCTGAGCATTAAGAATTTGTACTCTAAAATTTGTTACATAAACTCTTGATTCAGACTTATGATGTTACCAGTTTATAAATGGACAGAAAATACAGAATAAAATTTTTGTTGTATATGATTCATATATACCATCATATGAATGTAGTTTTTTTAACTGTTGCTATGCATCATGAGAATGTGTTCCATATTTATTCATATGTTCTTGCAAGTGTGGTAATAAAGTTAAGCTTATATTTTGCATGCGTTTATTTCATATTTTGTTTTTTTTTCTTCCTCTTAATGTTTTGTGTATCATGTCTTCAAAAGAAATGTTGAAAAAATGTTAGTGAAGATGGAAAAGAGTGGAAGGCTTAAAATAATGTATTTTCAAATTAAAACTGAATATTTTAGATTGTAATGAACATTGAGAACAAATCTAGTCATTTTTTAAAAAGTGAATACAGTGGGTGATCAGTTAACAAACAAATTGGATAACGAACACTTTCACGAAAGATTTTTATGATCGGACAACAAACACATGTTCGGATAATGAACACTTCACTGAACAAACACAAGAAGAAGTGAATTAAAATAATGAATACCAATTGGTCTTCCTTTGTCTTCAGGCAACAATTTGAAACTTTTTGGAGCGCGGGAGACATCCACATTGACGTTCTACCCACTATATACTGATCGGATAGTATTCCCCAAACTTTGAAACTCTCCCTTGTAATTCCAGCCTTTTGTATTTCTGACAGAAACAATTCTTTTATGTTTTCTTCTGTTGGATTTATGCCGATATCTTCTATTAAAGATCTTTTGAAGAACTGGGAGGATGTCAGAACAATGGTCTTAAAATGGCATCCAAATCAGGTTGAGGTTAATAGGCCTAGGGATCTCTACAATTACAATGCTATTAATTACTTCTGAAAAATCATGAAGAAGACAGGAAAGCAATCGACATTGGACAGATTGTTTAACTCCCACAAACAGAAAAAGCATGACTAATAAAAATGCAAGACCATGTATATATGTATTTTTATTATTAATATGATTAAATGTAGTAAGAAAGTATATACAGTAGAGTCTTGAAAACTCAGCACTCAATAACCCGGCACTCCGGATAACTCGGCCACACCCTGGCAGGGCAAAAAAACCTTAATTAATTAATTTCCATGATAAAGACAGCTTTATGCCTCATAAAGTATTTTTCTGAGATCTGTCTTATCAGGTAAATTACTGTACACAGTGTATTCATTAATTTTCATTTTCATGTAGTAAAGGTTCTATGCCTTTATAAAAGACGTACTTTTCCTTTGTTTAAGGGTATTTGGGCAGTTTATTCTCTGTTGTATTCTCAAGTAAACAATACATACAAGTACAGTACAGTATTTTCTGAAGAAACACTCATACTTATTCTTTTTTTAACCCCATTCCCGATAACCCAGCATTTTCACAAACTCGGCCACCCTTCGGTCCACATTAGGCCAAGTTTTTGAGGCTCTACTGTATTTTTTATTTTTTTGGGGTTTCCAGAACGAATTAATAAAATTTCCATAGAAAGCTATGGTAAATCGATAATCGGTTAACGAACAATTCGGATAGCTAACAAAGTCTTGGAACAGATTATGTTCGTTAACTGATCACCCACTGTACTTATATGTTATTAGCATTCTTTTATGTTTGGATTTATCCATGAAGTGATTTTCTACAAATGATATTGAAAATGAGACAAAGATATATTATGACTTCTTAACTATAATCAATAACTGATATAAAATACAACAGATATACTAATAAAATCTTATTTACACTAGGATTTCTTTATGAGGTAATTGAAACAAAAAATTGAGATAGTCTCATTCTGAAATAAAATGCGATATAATTGTATTTTTTGTTTTACATCTTTAGAGATACTATAACAAACAAATCAGGACCTTCTATAGAGTTGCCTATTGCTGGCAAATTCATCAGAGTTTTATATAATGTTTAAAATTACTTCTGCTGAATTGAACAGTTTGATGTTCAGAAAGTACCACATTATCCTAGCAGAGTTTCCTTATATATGGACTTGCCAGATTTTCACAATGTTAAACTAGGACAGGCAACAGAAGCACCCCTTATCTTTCCCATTACAATTCAACATACTTAAATTTCACACAATATAAGATTCAATAATTAAAACAAGAAACAATATGTATGCTTAAAGCATAGTTAGTAACCACCTGACTGAAGGCACACAGCATTCTGTCTTTGCTCTTATTTGATAGGAGAAGGTTGAAGGCAATGGATCATTGGAATAGAATAGTGTGGAACTGCCATACTGGAACAAGATGTCACGGTCAAGACACACTATAGCCACATTTCTTGACTTAAGGCACTTCTGAAAGTTGTTTCTCTGTATTTCAAATTAATTTATATAAATTTTTGGTACTTTTCCTTTAACTTGGACAAAATTACAAACTGGATACAATGCTGTGACTGTCCTGGTCAAACCGGAACATCCAGCAAGCCTACTTATATAAACTATGCATTTATCTTTTAAAAATAAAAATAAATTTAATAAAATAATTAAAGAAATTAATGATACTAGAGTAAGCATATCACTTAAATTAGATCAGTTTAGTGGCAAAGCTAACAATATTGCATAATTCTCATTATTTGAAAGATAACTTTTATCGTCAACAACTACAGGGAAGTTTTGCCATTTTTATGTGTATTCATACTATTTTAATGGCTATTCAAAATCTTTTGTTATTATATTGATGAAGAGAACTACAATTTTTTCTACAAACAAGGTTGAAAAGAATTAAACCTATAAAAAAAAAGACAGCTTTTTTTATTTAATACAGGTATACCTCGCCTTACGTCGGTAATTGGTTCCAGGAGAACGACTTAAGTCGAAAAACGACATAAGTCGAATTTACTTGTTTCCGAATCTACTTGCCACTAGGCTAAACCATAAATTACCAATTCCCGTTCTGTATTTTATTTATTAATGTATTTTTAATAATATATGGTTAATAAGGATCTATTTTAAGCTTACAAACAAATAAATTTTAGTTTTTAATATAGTACAAAAAAAAGTAATTTAAATTTACGAATGCATGTACTGTAAATACAGTATATACTTGTAAATGTATATATTATAATATGATTTTATGTGCTTTAAACATTTTTCTAGTGATATTACGACTTCAATATTTGTGGCGGACAGACATAAAGTCAAATAAAATTACTTAAACTTGACTTTAATTTTTCCATATACTTTTTTGACAAACGACATATAATCGGGAACAATGTAACTCGAAACGACGTAAGTCGAGGTATACCTGTATTGCAAAACTTTAGCATGTAATTTACTAAAGAGACTCAGGACAGATATCCAAAAACAGTAGGAACCAACCAGACTGTAGCTAACAGTATAGTTATTTTTCTTTTTGGATTCAAAGAAGAAGGATAGTAAGAAATAATTACTGATTTATAAGCCAAGAAACTGTGGCTGTCTGCCTGTTTGTTGTTGTATATAGAATAGGAACTCAGTTCTTTGTTCCTGTAATTCTTCTTCCTTCTGTCTTCAACCCTTTCCTGTCACATGACAGGAGATCTACCATTTGTGGGTCCTGACTGGCCAGAATACAAATAGGAAAAGAAAGGGTCCTGCTCAAGGGGACCTGGAAAAACGGGAGTTAAGGAGAGTCACTTTTGGATTTTTCACCAACAAGAGGTCTAGTGAGGGAGATTGAGTGGGTTGAGAAGCAACCAAGACTCTGAGGCCTAGAGAGATAGGAAAGCAAAGATACTCAGTGTAGACCACATGTGAACAGTGACACCAAGCTAAGTAGTATAATCATACAGAACTAAGTAAGTGAACTATCCCATCCAAGCCAAAGAAAACTTTCCTCAGCAATATTTAATGATAACATGTTATCATTACTCTGATGTAAACGGATTAAACATCTATCGTCCATACCACGATCATCATCCATATTATTTTTTGTTACCAGGACCCCAATCCCAGCCATTGGTATACTCTCTTACCAGTCTTCATTCTTCTCTTTCTTTCTTGTTCACAAGTAGTGATAGTGTTATTTAAGCTGAATCATGTAATAATTAATTGTCACGGGAAGATTGAGCAAGAGTGGGGAATTAGTGTAAATACACTTTTGTTCTCTATAATGGGCAGACTGATATCTATTCCCTTTATTCAATTGAAAAAAATGCAATTTGACTGGTATTTACCTTGTCTCATTTGTAATGCATTTCTCATCTTTCACAAAACCACAAAGAAACTTTCATCTTTGTATTCAGGAATTAAACCCATGTTTCATACCCAGTTACAATTCTGTCAAGAAATTTGTCATCTTCTTCTTCTCAGTAGCACAGAATAAGCATCAAAGCTGAGCCCATATTCGGAGTTTTGTGAACAATATCAATTGTTTTGGTATCCATGTGGAACAGAACTTGTGGTAAACCTAATCTCTCTGTGACAATACAAAATAGAATAGTCCTCAAAATTTCAGGAAATTTGTGAGAAAGTTCTGAAATTGTGAAATAATGTTTATTATGCATAATTTGGTCAACTTTTTTAATGAGTTCATTAGTCAAAATTGAGTGTCATCTTTGTCCACACTTTCATGCACATCTGTGCACTCACCCCTGAATTTTCTACATTAATCTTTCACTGAACTGTCATTTGTAATGTTGTCACAGTAAGTGAAGACATATAATTTTATGATATCACTGTAGACCTAACACAGTCAATGATGAATCTTGGCAGAGCTGTATTCTTCTGCTTGAAGAAAACATATCACACCAAGTACTCTACCTCACAGTGGGCAGGAATGTTGATAATAAGATCTCTATTTACTCAGTAATAACTCATTCACAAATAAAATAAAAAACAATGGACAGTGAGTTAGCATTTTGCTACTTCTGTATGCAATGTGACATATTGCTATGGGAACAGATTTATTTTCACTAGCTAATTAGAGGTTGATTTTGTAATAGCCCTCATATTTAAATATCACTTATGGTCAATATGTATTTCGTAGTTATGGAAATGACAAGTTCTCTGAATTAGGAAATTTTAAATTAACATTTTATAAGATAGCTTTAATTATTGGGTTGTTCGGAAAGTAAGTTCGTTTTTTTCCTATGAAAAAAACGCAATATTCTTATGATAAATAAATATTTTATTGAATTATATGTTGATCATTTTGGTCAAATACCTGTTGTCATCGTTTCTGGTAGAAGCACGATTTCACATTCATAAAAGTTTTGATCATTGCTTACAAAAAACCGATCCAAGTGATTTTTGACATTGTCATTTCAAGTAAATGTCTTACAATTAAAAAAAAATTGTACAGACTGGAACAAGTAATAATCTGAGTGTGCTCGATCTGGTGAATATGGTTGGTGTGATAGCACGTCCCATCTAAGTTATAACAGTTTCTGACGAGTTAGCAAACTTGTGTGAAATTTGACATTATTGTGGTAAAACACTACAGCTGTTTTTTTTATCAATTCTGGCTGGCTTTTTCTGTTTGATGATATTACGCAATTTGTTTACTCGAATGCAGTACACTTTCGAATTAATTGTTAAATTGTCTGGTAAAAGCTCCAAAAAAAATTTCCTTAATATCCCACCAAATAGAGCATTTCTCTTTAAGAACTCATGGATTTCATATATCAAGCTTTGAAACCAAATCAATTTGTTTCAAGTACTCATAAACAGTTCAGTTTGGCAAATTTTATCTCTTAGTGATTTCACGTGTTGTTATTCCGCAGTTTGCTTCAATCGGTACTTTTATTTTGTTTTCATTGGCTTCAATTGGCCATCCATAACGTGGTGCATCTTCAATACTGAAATTGCCAGAACGAAACTTTGTAAACCAGTTTTGGCACTGTCGTTCTGTCAACACATCTCCACCATACATGTCACACGATTTTTTTCTTGCTTGAACAGCATTTTTATTTTTTTGGTAATAAAAAAGCAAAATATGCCGAAGATGCTACTTTCGATCTTCCATATTTGATGGGACACAAAAAATAAACAATTGCACGAAATCAAACAAAATTTTTTACAAATAAGCCATAAAATGTTAGCTGTCAAAATATATAATGATAATACGGTTTAGAACGAAAATGGCGGGTAAAATACCACTAATCTGTCTAGTGGTAAAAAAAATGAACTTACTTTCCGAACAACGCAATAGTTTATATATAATAATTATAAATGTATTAAAAAGTTAGCATTAAAATAGTATGTATTTTTTTAGTTAAGCAATAACAAATTCAATCTATTTTTTAAGTGTTATGGAAAGCCACCAAGTAATTGATGTTACCAGTGACACTAGTGTAGAGGAGATCATGATAACAACAATGGAAAAATATGGATTGGATCCTGCTGATATCAATAAATTCCGTCTTAGTGAAGTTACTTTAGATAAGGGATGTAAGTAGATTATTATTGTATAATGTTAATGATAATTTTTCTTCTTCATATTTACAGTAGAGCGTTGTTTATCCGAAAGTCGGTTATCCAAAAGCATTCCAATCGGCAAATTTAAATTTTCGCTAGTGCTGTGGCGCTGCAATCTTTGGCTATATCTTGGGCTACTCCAATATTTTTTTTGTTGGTGTGTGTGTTTTAGATGGCAGCACTGGCACTTTTGTGTGGTGTTTTTCTGAGGACTGTGTGTCATGCTGAATCGAACGTTTTAGATACTAGATCAACTTCTAAAGTATATTTTTTTGGTTTTTATATTTTTCAATATATTTATTTTGTTTGTACAAAATAAAAAAATAATTTTTAACAATACAATAGCCACGATTATTATTTTAAAAAGTTTTCGTTAGGCTTAACATCGACAAAAATTAAACACAAAGTGACATGCAACAGAGAAAAATTTCAACATAGGATAGGTTAATATATTTTTCGTACATAATCGGTTATCCAAAATTAAGTTATCCGAACAACCCCAGTCCCCAATTGATTTGGATAAATGACGCTCTACTGTAATATATAAAGTTTCATAATAAAATCTCATAACAGATAGTGCCACATACAACATTATTTATTATGTTTAATAATATAAAAGTTATTTTTAAAATAAAATCTTGTAACAGCTGGAAAAGTTATGCAACTCAGTTTCTGAATTTTTTTAATATAAAAATAATTTAAGCTTTTTTTATTTGTTTATATATATATAAGCTATTTAAATAAATATTAAATATTATTTTAAATTTGTAGCTGTTCATGAAAGAGTAATGGACAATCAAGAATCTCCATGGGAACTTTTGAAGAATGTAGCGAGGGTATAAATAATTCTTTAATATCATAAAAATTTATATATATAAAAACTTTTGTATTTTTCTATAAATATACTTTATGATTTCTGCAATGTCATAAATATCATACATTACTGATTTAGATTTTGGTTCTAACAAAGATTTATTTATAAATTTTTTTGAAGGATTCAAAGTAATAATCTGGAACCTATAGAGGCCTATTTCAATTTTAAAATATTTTATAATTGAATTTTATTAACTAAATTTGACTAATTAAAATTTATTTTATTGAGATTTAACATTTATCAATTTGTCAAATATTCTAAAAATCCAAATATGACAATGTCTGTTTTGAAGAAAAGCAATGGTGAACTTTATTTATTAATCGATACAAAGTTAAACTCAAAAATATCTGATAACTATCACTTTCAGGAACACATTTTTGAATGTAGTGATCATGATTTGTTTATCTAAATATATAAAATTACTTGTCCTGACTGACTGACTGACTAACTGAGTGATTGATTCATCATTGCCCAGAGCAAACTGCTGAACCTAAAGAGGTGAAATTTGGTACACAGTTAGGGTACATCATGAAAGCACATTAAGAAGGGATTTTTGGAAATTCCCCCAAGGGGGAAGAGGGAGAGCATTAAGGGTTAAGCTGAAGAATGGCTTTTATTGTACTATTTTAGATGTGATTTTTTGTTTTCAACTACATTTAGTCTTCACTGAGTACTTAGGTGTATTAAATTGATAGCATTTCAGACATTGTTATAAATATTTTTATATATTTCAATTTTTTAACCAAATGTTCAAACTGTTTTAAATTCAAATTTGTTATTGCATATTGGTTTGATTATAGAACGATTGTAAATGTTTCAGAAAATTGATCAAATTGAAAACAGTTTGTTTGATTCTCAGTGGTAGGTGTTACATAACAATTACTATGTTTGTTGAAATACTGAATATTAATGGGGTTTGCTTGCAAAATTTGTGCAGACGAAGTCATGGGTAACAGCTATTTTTGTAATAATAAAAATGAAAAGTCATAAATAATTATAAAAAATTTTTAAAGAAGAATATTTTATTGTACCAGTATATGTTAATATTATAGGTTAGTTACTTACCTTCAAATATATTTTTAAAATATGAATTGCTTCAGCTTCATTTTTATTTTATTTGATAATTTATGAAACTTTAACAATTCTAGAAATTATGAAAGTCTTACATTTTTTAATCATTTCAAATCTATTATAAACTTAAATTTATCTGATGCTAGCTTTCCACTTAACCTAATTTTGAGGCAATTCAATTACCTTTGTCACTGCTTGCTGTAAAATTTACCTTTAAGTACTTTGGTGACAGAGTACTCGTATAATGTATATTTCTTCACAGTGATTCTGTGCAGCCAATCAGCATGCAGCACCCTTAATTTCAAGTGTGACATCATATTTTTATCCTTCATTTTTAGCACCACATACAGCATGATGTGAAAATTTCAAAAGATGCAAAAAAATGGCAAATATTAGATGGTCTGATACTGTTGAAAAACTGTTGGAGGATACCAGATTTATCCTATTCTTTATGAAAAAAACCCAAATTATTAAAATAAGATAAAAACAGAAGTATGGAAGCAAATGGCTTTAAATAATAGCAGGTAGATAAGACATTAATATTGAATATTAAAAAAATTAAATGCAAAATTAAAATGAAAAATATAAATTTTAAGTTCAAAGTTTTTCTGCCATTTTAAAAAAGTTCCCATAATTTATTGCAAATCATTTTTCATTTTGTCAAAGTGTGTAAGCACTAGAGTAGCTATTGTGCTAAGAAGAGAGCCAGCATGAAAGTGTAGGAGTTTGTGTTATCTCATTCTTATCACAGAATTTATAGTTTAATCATTTTTATATTGGAGTTATTAACAAATCGATAAGAAAATTAATAAAAACAGTAGTAATATATGGTCACATACTGAATGGAATAAATTTATGTTTCTGCTTTAAAAAAAATAGTATAAGTAGATATTTGATTTAGAGATGAACATTTTATTTTGTCTTCTTTAGAATTACATTCCAAAAAACATGGAACATATAATTGTATAATAACATATATATCAGCACATATTCTAGGATTAAATTTTCAATGTTCATTAAAATTTAAAAATGAAGATTGCTTATAAACAAGCTGAAAACATTGTTATATTAGGAAAATTATTTATTCTTATTAAAATTTATTCATTCGTTTATTCTTAGTAAAATATATACCAAAGTCAAAAAAATTGTTTAGTAGTTTTTTGATATTAATCCATTTTTTTTAATGGCAATCTGAAAATATTTTTATTTTAGGAAAATTAGTAATTTATAAAAGAATTGCTTGCAATTTTCCTATTTCAATCTTTCTGAATTTGTTGAGTATTACTAATAATTAAATGTTAATAATTCAAAATTAATTTTATTTCATGAAAATTATAAGTCAATCATTTTTCATTCAATTTTATTTTCTTAGAATAATTTTTATTTATTTATTTTGTTTTATATTATTTAATTTTACTGTATTAAGTTTGTTATATTATTAATTTTTATAAGAAGTTTTTAAACAAGGTCCCTATTTTCCAAAAAAAAAATTAAAAATTGTGACTTTGTTCTGTTTGAATATTATTTTTATTTTATTATAAAAGTGTTAAGAGTAAACTTTAATGAAAAAATTTGGCCCAAATATATTTTGTTTTTTTAAAATATTCACAATAATACTTGAAGATAATGTTATTTTAATTGTGTTAATTTAATTAGCATAATTAAGTTTTGTAATTGTTCATTACCTATATTAAGAAAAAGTGTATTTAAAATAATATATAAATAATATTTTATTATTTTCAGGAATCTGTCAGGCAAAAAGAACTGACTAGGTTTTATTTAAGACAAAAGGAAGATTTACATAGTTCTACTGTTGCCCTGTTTGTAGGAAATCTTCCTCCTAATTTATCAGAACGTCAATATGAAAATATTTTAGTAGATCTTCTTGGAAAACGTTAGTCTAAAAACTATTATTATTATTTTTATTTCATAATTAGAATATAAATTTTGTAGTTTTGTATGTATCTAGTAGCAGCATTTATTGACATATATTTTTTCTTTTTCAGCTTATAAATTTCGTCAGATAGGTCCTATATATTATGAATATGGTTCTTTAATTATTACTTATGATAATGCAGATATTGCTGTTAAGGCATTTTATATGCTTCGAGAAACTAAATATGAAGATAAAGCACTTTTAGTTCTTCTGTTACCAAATATAATTCCTGAAATGATTCCTAATGGAATTAGAGTAAGTATATTTTTTAATTTTAACTATGATTTTTATGATGATTACTTTAAATGAGAATTTATATTGAAAGTATGTATTGAGAAATTAAAAAATTATTAACAACTGTATATAATCAATGGAAGAAATACTTTGTAAGTGAAGAAAGCAAATATATTTTAATTTTATTTTATTTATGGCTATTTAATGTTTTTCCAATTACACAGATGTATAGGTCTTTTAACAAACTAATATGTATTCAAGTCTAAATATATTGTTTGTATGGATATTTATGATTTTATTAAAATAATTGTAGTTTTCATAATTCAAAATTTTCTACTCTCTATTCCTTCCACTTTGAGTTAACTACTGTTTACTGTATTTCATCAGTAATAAATTTAAAACTTTGAGAATATACAGTAGAGTTCCGTACAATGCGGGGGGATTCATTATGCATTATAAAAAATCGTGTTATTGAAACTTGTATTATCACACAATTTATGAAAGTTTAAACCTTGGCCTATAAGTTGAAAAAAAAGTATACCTCTGATCGACAAAATTCAAGGGTGTTGCTTGCTTTATTTGTTCATTGTATGGGACTCTACTGTATTAAAAATCTACTTGAAATTTATAATATTGAATCAAATTTAATATTTTTTTAAATAAATTAACGATAACAAAATACTAAAAAAATAAATAAGTTATTTTGTTAAAGTAGCAAGTATCTGTAATTTTTTAAATTCCTATTTACTGTAAAAAAAATATAGTGTGTAATTGATTTTAAATTATTTCAATTTATTTTTGTAGCCATTACTTGTTTTTGTTAATGTCAAAAGTGGAGGCTGTCAAGGGCTGGAATTAATTTCTTCATTTCGAAAGTTATTAAATCCTTATCAAGTTTATGACTTAGAAAATGGTGGTCCTCTTCCTGGGTAATTAAAAAACTTTTCACATTATTAGCAATATGATTGGTTTTTTTATTGAATAATTCTTTTTATGGAGAGTTTTCTGATTTTATTTACTGTTTAATAATCCATAATGAGAATTTCTAAATTTTCTTATTAATTTTTAGTAATTAGCTAAGGTTTAAATTATACTTGAAAATATTTTCAATATTTATAATCGAAAATTAAATTTTTATTTAGGTTATATGTGTTTCGGCATATTAGAGATTACAAAATTTTAGTTTGTGGAGGTGATGGAACAGTAGGTTGGGTTCTTCAGTGTTTAGATAATGTCGGTCAAGATTCTGAATGCCAGTCTCCTGCTTGTGCCATTGTACCTTTAGGAACTGGTAATGATTTAGCTCGTGTACTTCGTTGGGGACCAGGTTACACTGGAGGAGAAGATCCATTAACTTTGCTCAAAGATGTTATTGATGCAGAAGAGATAAGATTAGATAGGTAAATATATAATTTTAAATAATTAATTTATTTAAAGATACAATTATTTATTTTTAAATTATAAATTATATATTCTAAAATTTTTATGACAAATTATTTATATCTGTAATTAAATTATTTTGTCTCACTGGTTATACTCAAAGACATTTATTATTTTTTCCTATCAGCATCATGTATTGACAGTTTAACTACTACTGAAAAAATTGTAAAATTTATATAATGCATATTAAATTACATACCTGTGATAAGTTTGTTTATATTCCTGTGAATCTAGTAAAGTGAATAATTTTACTTAAGTTGATTAGGTTGAATTTTTTGTAAAGTTTAGTATAATACATTTTTCAGAACTGTTAGAAAAACAAGTTCTCACTCTGGAGAATTTACTTTCCTAGTAGTTTTTTAATTATGAAGTAACAAGTGCTGAGAAAGTAAAATCTTGATAAAGAGGACTGAAATAGCAATTCTTTCACAAATTTTATTAATGTTTTCAGCTTCACTAACAATATTTACAGTATAAAGAGTGGTAACAAAAGTCTTTCTATAGCTGAGTATTTCAAAAATAAATAGTGCAGCTGCTGAGGTCCTTTGCCAGTGTATATTAAGTTGAGCATGAAGTAAACTGACATACTACATTTCATATCTTCTCCTTAGGTTGTGAGGGACAGAAACATTCTCTATCCCTAATTGGAATGGAGCATCAATGTCAATTAAAAAGTTGTAGAGAATAACAAAATATGTGATTTCTTCCATTTTGAATTACCAAATGAGATCCAGATCAGTTTGCAAACTATTCCCTTCTTTAGTGAGAAAATCAACACGTTACCTAATTTTCCAGCATGAAGAGTTTGTATAACAAACATTCCGTTATTTGTAGCAATGCTGCAATGCATTGCTACAAATAAGGGAATGTTTTGTGTTCCATGGTTGTGTGAATGTAACATTCACACAACCATGGAAAATTCAAATGATATGGTTAAATAAAAAATATCAAAAGCCAATGAAATGAAAAAAAAAAACAAAATCTCTGATATTTATATAACTTTTATTTTACGTATTACCACCTTGTCAATGATGATACATGCCTACTTTTGCTATACTTTTGAAACTAAAAAACTTTGCATGACTAACAAGATATTCATTACAGTAAGATGGGCAACTAGTTATAGGCATTTTAGGTATGTAAATTCAAAGAAATGTTTATGATGTCAATTCATTGGCATCATAAGCATTCAAGTTTATCTATCTTTCCAACATCTCACTGATGCATGCATAGAAACCAGAAGTTAGTAGAATTGGAAGATTTTTGATTAAAACTTTGTAGTTTTATAAAATAGTTCTTATTTTTTGTTAAATAATATATCACTGTTGCAAGTTATGTGTTAACAGATAGTGAGTAGGATACCTTACAAGTAAGTTTACATGACTACTTTGGTCCATTTCAGTCATACAGAACCAAAAAGTGCCGGACTTGATAGAGATGCCATGTCATGGCCGTTTATTTGTTAGAAAAATAATACAAATCATTGCTACACACATAGGTAATGACAGGAGAGAAATTTAACACTTTCCCTCATTGATTTGTCCCATTTTGCTTACAGTCATTAAGTCCAAGTTGTCTAGCACATTTAACGTGTTTTCCTACTGGTTTTGTTAAAATGTCTGCTACCATTTCCTTGGTAGGGCAGTACATAATACATACATTCCCATTCTTTACTTCACTTCTTACAAAATGATATTTGACATGAATATGCTTTGTACATTGATTCACACAATCATTTTTTGCCACTTTCATTCAACTTTGGTTATCCTCGTACATAGTTACTTTCTTATCGATGGTTTCCCCAAGGTCCAGAAACACTCACTTCAGCCAAGCAGCCTCCTGGGTGGCTTCACAAAGTGCAATGTACTCAGCTTCAGTCGAAGACAGTAACACATTGCTTTGCTTTTTACTATACCAGGATACAGGACTGTCTTGATATTTAAAGACATACCCTGTATGCAACTTTTGATCTGTGTTATCATCTGCCCAGTCTGAGTCGATGAAACATTCTGGTGTGGTTCTTCATTGCTCTTCTCACCCAATTTCAGCTTCCAATCAGCTGTTCCCTTCAGATATCAAAACACCCTCTTCACCTCATTCCAATCAGCTGCTCTTGGTTCTTTAGTACATTGGGTGAGGATGGAAACTGCTGCCAATATATCTGAGAGTATGTTAGTTGCAAGGCACAGTAAACTACCTAGACCCTTGAGGTACAGTTTGTTACTTTCCATTCTTGGTCCCCTCTCTTTAATTTTGAAATATCCAGGATCAAGGGGAATCTTGCTGCTTTTTGCACCTTGGAGTCCAAATTCTACTAGTTTGTCAGTTATAAAATATTTTTGATTTAGATGGAATATTCCATCACCATCTTGATCAAATTTGATTCTGAGGTAATGATCAATATTTCTGAGGTTTTTCATGTGGAAATATTTGTTAGTTTCCACTTCAAGCCAATCTAACACTTCTTTGGAGGTTGATGCTGCAATTACATCATCAACATGTACAATGATGTACATTGTTGTGTAGCATCTTTTTCCAGTGTACAAACAAGGGACATTTATGCTCTGCACAAAGCCGCATTCAGTCAGTACTTTATGCGATTTTCTGTTCCACTCAGTAGCTCCCTGTTTCAATCCATAAAGGTTTTTCACAAGCTTGCAAATTTTGCTCGGTTCTTCTGTGTCATAGCCTTTAGGTTGCTGCATGTACACTGTGTGGTGTAGGTTGCCATTCAAGAAAGCTGTCTCAATGTCATAGTGATTCACATGCATTTTATGTTTTGCTGCTAAAGTGAGCAAGATCCTAAGGGTTGTTGGCTTTGCCACTGGAGCAAATACCTGGTCATAATCCTCTCCATATTTTTGACTGAAGCCTTGTGCCACCAGACGGGCTTTGTATCTTGTCGGTTTACAATGTGGATCACGTTTAATTTTATATATCCACTTGCTTCCAACAATATTTGTTTCTGGTGGTGGTTTGGCCATCACCCATGTTCCATTTTTCTTGAGTGCACAAATTTCCTCATCCATTGCCTTTATCCACTCATTTGCATCTTTTCCTTTGACAGCCTCATCATAGGTTTTCGATTCAGAAACAACTGTACTTTGCATTGCCTCAATCAATCTGTCTAGGGGATGACCTTTGTTGTTTCTCATAGAGCGACAGAGTGGCAGATTATCCTCAGATTGCTTGTTAAAGATGGCTCTTTCATTTAGGTTAACTTCCACTTTGCTTTTGCTGTCATCTTCATTGTGGTAATGTGGGAAGGATGAACTGTTGGTCGAGCCTATGTTTTCATGTGGATCTCCTTCTATGAAGACAACATCACAACTTATTTTGATTTTCTTGGTTATGATATCCAGCAATCGATATGCCTTGCTGCCACTTTCATATCCCGCAAATTTTGTTTCAGTTGCCTTTACATCCAGTTTCTTTCTTACTCCTAAAGGAACTCTTGTGTAAGCAATACATCCAAAACGGCAGAAGTACTCAATATTTGGCTTCTTACCTTGCCATTTCTCATATGGTGTCATCGGGTCCTTTTTTGATGGTAATCTGTTCTGGATATGATTTGCCATCATTAATGCCTCACTCCAGTAGCATTTTTCTAATTCTGCATCATGCAACATTGTTCTTACCATCTCATAAAGAGAGCAATTTTTCCGTTCTGCCTTGCCATTCTGTTGAGGGAAATCTGGTGCTGTGGTCTGAACTTTAAAACCATGTTCCTTGAAAAATTTATGCAGATCTTCATCCATGTACTCAGTCCCTCTATCAGTCGGAACTTTTTCACCTTGCATCCCATTTGTGTTTCAACATAGTATACATATTCCTTTATTTTTACATTAGCCTTAGACTTCAACAGATAAACTTTGGTATAACCAGTGTAATCATCTATAATCATTATGTAATATCTATTTCCACCAGGAGTTCTCACTTGTATGGGTCCACACAAGTCACTGTGCAATAGCTCAAGCTTTGTACTACTACTATTCATCGATTCTTTTAGAAATGGTTTCCGCAGCGTTTTATTTTTCATGTAACTTTTGCATCCCACAGTGCACCCACCCTCATTAATTGTCACACCCTTGACACTTTTAGTAGCCATATAATGCATTACAGATGGATCACAGTGGTCACACCTGAAATGCCACAGATGTACACACTGTTTCTTGGGCATGGATAATACTTGTAAGGCATTGTGTTGGCTCAATACAAATAGTGATTCCTGAAGCTCAGCCTTTGCATGTGTCTTGCCATCTCGTTTTATGTAGCACTGCATTTTTTTGCTGTCAAAATACACATCATAACCTCTTTGTATCATTTTTAAGACCGACAATAAATTCCCATTTAGTTGTGGTACATATAAAACACTATCTAATTTTAACTTGCCTTCATCACAAATTAGTTTACCATGTCCAACTCCACTTGCAGGCATTTCTCTTCCATCAGCCACACGAACAATTTCATTGCTGTTGTTGTTTAATTTTCTGAAGAAGTTCCTGTTGTTTGTCATGTCAGCTGTTGCTGCTTAATCAACATCTCTTGTAGTCTTCACAGCAAGACATTGTTTCATACCTAATGGCATATTTTGTGTGCTCATACATGCAGAGTGGCATTCGTGTGTTTCATTATTGTCCAACAGATCAGACTTTTCCAGGACTTCAGTTAATTTTACTTTGTGTTCTTTTTTTTCCTTTCCTCTGCCCAATTCAGGACAATCCCTTTTCAAATAGACCACCCCACAATAGTAACATCTAGTTTTCTGTTTATGGACCATTGTTTTCAAAGCCATGGCTTCATCCATATTCATGGTATGTCCAAGCGATCCTCTTGATTGCTTCTCATACTCTTCCATGATCTTAATCTTTACAAATACAAGAGTGAGGTCTGTATCTGCTCGTGCCTCAAGAGCAGTCATTAATGTATTATAATTATTGGGCAAACTTTTCACATAAGA